TTAATATATTTTAGATCAAAATTTAAAATGATTGAAGAAGTGAATGAAAAACTACCATCAAAGAATGTTAAAAAGTCCAAAGATAATAAAGAAAATCTATCTTCTCATTCAAAATATGTGACACATCGAGCAACATATGGTCGAATACGTGTTGATCATCCGTCTAAATCTGAACAACGTCAAATGATTGAATCATTATACAAAACTTATGACCCAAGAAGTGAACAAAACCAAACATTTGATACTCAATTATGGTCATTAGTTGATGAGGATATTGATACTGAGAAACATGATATTGATTTCTATGGTTTAATTAATGCTCATTATCGAAATTTTAATTTTGAAAATAAACTTGCATCACCAAAAGAAGAAATCACAGATAATTATATTGATCAATTAGCTTTTCCTGAATTAACAACAAAAAAATCAGAAAATAAATCAAAAATTCTTCAAAAAGAAACAATAAAAGAATTAAAAAATGAAAAAATGAATTTTATTGATGAACAATATTTTGGTACATTAAAAACAATCGACTATCACGATGAACAAACTAATAAAACTATACCAACAAAACGAATTGAAATGCCATCAACAGATGAACTTAATTATATTGATCAACTTGTTTTCAATTCACCAATTTCATCAAAAGAAATAAAAAAACCTCAAACTTCAATTTCCGATAAACAAACAAATTCAACTCCACTTGAAAAATCAACAAATACTTCATCAGATAAACTTCTTGATATAAATTTTCAATTTCGTACTTCTACTCCAACTCCAAAACCTTCTAAAAAATCTTTACCTAATCTAAATGAATCTCCAATGGATACATATAATCCAAAACTTGAATCAATGCGTAGTATAAAATCAAAAGATTATTTCGATCCACCACGTCAGTCATCTCTTGATATACAAAAAGACAAAGATATTGAATCAGATAAAAATGCTACTCAATCAGCTGAACAGATTCGTGAACAATTAACAAAGAAAATTAATGTTCGTGATAGTTTAGGCTATCGAACATTTGAAAATCTTATACCGAATTGGTGGACAATGACGAAAGCAGAAATTGTTGATATATTAATTAAACAAATCTGTTTTATACGACGTAAGAATTCATTTTCTTTAATATAAACATAATTTTATTTGATTGATTTAGATGGTATTCTTGCATTAGATAAACCATATGGTCTTCCGACAATAGATAAGTAAATAAAATTTTTAATTTTCTTTAATTTTCGAGTTATCTTTTTTTTAGGTGGACCAGGAGTTCAAATGTCCATTGGTAAGTAAGGTATCATAGTTTCTTTCTTTACTTCACATATGGTTAGATAGAATCTGAGAAGCTGATCAACAATATGTGTATTAGAAACATGGGTTCAAGTACCAAAAAGTATTTTGTAATGGTATCTATTATCGACGTCAAAATATAAAGCAGAGCCATGTTTTTTTTAAATAACTTTTGATAGGAATATCATGGAGAAGTCTTTCAGAATATCGTTTTCAAAAATCTTCACCAAGAACTCATTTGATTGGTTCATAACTTCATAAATGAGTTTTCAAGCTTCAGTTTTTTAAGCTACATCTGAAACAAATCGTTTGATATTCAAAGGACATGACAAAATTCTAAACCTACATATTGTTGATAATCTTGTCACCCTCTATTTAATCATACATAAAGTAAGGAAATAGTGTCCTTGTTTATTTTTGCATTTTCAATATTTTATATAAAATATTGATTCATTTGTTTTTTGATTGAAATATATGTATTTATAGCTCATTTTATACCACAAATAATTGAACGTTTAAATAAACCTGAGATAAAACAACTTCATTTATTACATCGACTTGATAAACAATCAACTGGTGTTTTACTTATGGCTTAGTAAAAGAAAAACTATTACCCATAAAAGTTATATTATATTCTATTTAGTACACCAGAAGCTGAACAACGATTACGTGAACTTATGCAAGAACGAAAAATCATTAAACAATATATAACTATTGTTCGTGGAATACCAAAACCATCTGAAGGTAAAAATTAAGTTTTTCATTATATAGAATAAATTTTTTTTTTTCTAATAGGTGAAATTAATATACCAATTGTTGAAAGAAATGTTCGTGGTACATATAAAATGATGCTTTCACCTGACTATAATGATTTAACAAAATTAGTTATGCCTAAAGTCAAACGTGATCATATTAATAGTTCAACAGCAATAACAAAATATCGTGTAATTGATTCGAATTATGAAGTTTCATTAGTAGAATGTCAACCAGTTACAGGTAAATTTCATCAAATACATTCATGTTCGTTTCACATTGACAATACCTTACGAGAGAAGTTTAGCAAATAATAAATCGCTTTTAAGCCGAGACTGTGTATATAAAGTAGACTAAAATGAACTATGCATCAAAGATGTGTATGTCATTAATTTATTGTTACGGAGATGCTACACTTTTACGACTTTTTTTTTAAATCAACGCCGTAGTAACAGAACGGTTCTATCGTAAGATAGAATAATGTTAATATGGTGTCTTGAAGATCTCATATAGACTGGCAGATTTGATGTTCTTAGTCTGGGATAAAAGCAAATAAAAAAAAATCTGACACTGCTTTCATTAAAGACTTGCCTTATGCAAAGTTTCAATTCAAAAATCAAAAATGATTTTTTTTCTGTTACCACAGCATTCATTTAAAGAATACTGTACAAGGGAAGTATCTTCACATTCAACGACTTTTTGTATATCCTAATATGTATAGACGGTTAGGTATTAGAAAAGACGTGAAATAATAGCGCAGAAATACAAAGCATTGCTTTTTCTATCAGATCACATAGACGCAACTTTCTCTAAGGTTTTTTTTAAAGAACTAAAACACCTCCGCCATTACTTTTCATACGCCTTAAATTTATTTGTTATGCTAATATAAATAAACAAATTAAGATAAACAATAGAAATTCGCTCATACTCATTAGGTTCATATACTTCAATATCAGAAATATCTCTTATATCATTACATGAAACTGTATCAACATACAACTTTATTATAGATTGATTTATTTCTAAACTTTCAGGTGTCAAACATCAAATTCGTACACATTTAGCTCATGCACTTGGAACACCTATATTAGGTGATCATAAATATTCTCATTATGCTAAATTAGCACCACAAGTAAGATTAAAACTTAATATTTTTTCTTCTAAAATTATTTGTTTTTTATAATATAGAAATTATCATTTGCAACATTAAAAAAATTAGGTGTACGACAAGCAAAAGTTCGTACAATTCCATTATGTTTACATTCATATTCAATGGCCATACCAAATTTTCTTCATCATCAACAGAATATATTTATTCGTGCTCGCTTATCACATCATTTACGTTATTTCATTCAATGTCTTCGATTACGAATGATAAAATAAATATTTCTCATGTGTCTTCTTTTCTTTATTTTAATAAAAGAGAAAAAAAAATAGCCATGCACACAATTAGATAATATTCATAACTGGTGCAACATCTAAATAAAAAAAAATATCAAGAATAAAATTTTGTTTTTCTGTACTATTTAAAACTTACGTTCAAATTTAATCTTTTCAACTATATTTCGAGATTTAATATTTTCTTCATGATTAGCAATCCAGATATAATTAGGATCATCAGCAAGTACTTTCCATCCACGAGTTTTAATTAATGCTTCAAAATCATTGTCTAACGAAACGAAATATTAGATTTTGATTGGAATAAAAAAAAACATAGTCTTACTGTTAAGACGACCTAATGCTGATTGTAATTCTTGTTGATTTATTGTTTGATATGTTCGATTTATTGTTTGGCAAATAACTAGAATTAAAGAAAATCAAATGAAATAAAATAGAAAATGAATTTTACGAACATTCTCGAATACGATCTTCAAAACCTGGAATTTTCACCGTGGTACGTTCCAATAATTCCTAAAAATGACAAGTTTAAATACATTTATTGTTTAGTTGATCTTAATTAATATTATGAATGATTAACAAATGACTCTAGCGAAATTCGAACAATAGATTGCATCTTGATAAAATGAAGTGCTGTTATCTAATTCAAAGAATAACTGGTTCCGATCTTGTTCTAGTCCCGACGAAACGAACTTGCTTAGATTCAATCATGTAAAATTCGTCATATTTAGAGATGCCTGCACATAAGTATCTTTTTAGTTCTGTCTCCAAAAATTTATTTTTCAGTGTTTTCGGTACTAATCTAGAGAAAAACATCTCAGAATTTATTTGACGACTGGCACAGTTGGTGTCATCTCTCTTCTGAATTATATTTTAATGAGTACGATTTATACAATTATTCATTTAAAACCATGGAACATTTAACTAAAAACTGAGACTTCTCTTCGTATTTCGTACTCGAATAAAACCAACTTATTAGCACATTTAAAACTTACCCAAAAATCTTGAAATCGACATGATTCAAGTAATTCAGCAAATTGTAAAGCTTCAACTATACGCGAATTTTCTTGACACTGATAAAAAAAGAAGATAAATTTCATGAAAGAAAAAATCTTTTTTTTTTTTATTGAAAATACTTTTTGTGTATCAAGTAAATATTTGCAGAGTAAGAAATCTGATTTTGGTAAATTTGTTAATGCCAAAAGAAGAATATCTGCAACTTTATCAGCTTGAAAATAACTTGGATCAAATTGATACATTTTTAATAAAGCCATATTAGCATCAAAATCATAAAAACGATTTTCAATTTGATATTGAACATAATCTTCAAGCATTGGACGACAATTTGGATTATATCTAATTCAATTTAAGATGATTATATTAGAAAGAATGAAAATAAAATTTCTATACCGTTCAATGCCTTTTAGTTTTCGTGCTACTTCTTCAGCACGTGTATTTGTACGAGGATGACTAATAGATGGCATTTTTCTTTTTCTTTTAGAGAAATATCTGAAATTAAAATAAATGACGAGTTTATTTTGTACAAGAAATTATTTATTTTAAAAAAGATCAAGTTTTTTTGTACGAATTTGTTCACGTTTAGATTGAAGATTATTTTCAATATGTTTTAATTTATTATATTGAATTTTTTTAGCTGCTAGACGTTGTTTAATATTAGAAGCAACGATTGATGTACCTCTAGAAAAGAAAATATGTTTGTGATTTATTTTAATATTTTGATATGAAGAATTTTGTTTGTAGACTAACCGAAGTTCATTGTATTTTAATCGTTCTTCTAAATGATGAATTTCACGTTCTAATACTCGAATTTCATCATTGCGTCGACCGATCTAAAAAGCATACAAGACAATATTGCAAGTTGGCGATGAGTATCTTATAATAGTTCTCAAGTATTATAAGCAATGTATCGATCCTTGGCACATGTAAACGATTCACGATAGACTACTGAATGCAACGGAGTCCTTTCCATTAAAATAAATCTTACTTGTGTATGTAAAAGTAACGATGTTTCATCAACAGTTGTTTTATCATCTTTAAATCGATCTAATGGTGATGGTGTTGAATCTTGATTAGCTAAAGAAATAGGACTTTTTTTTCTTCTAAAAGTTGATTAAAGATTTGATTAGAAACAAACTTGATTTCATTTCTGATGTAAAGATTTTATCAAGAAATGTAAAAACATCTTTTTGTTCAGGTAATTTTTTTTGTTTTTCAATTGTTACTTTTTTTCGATGTTTTTTTATTTTAAATGCATCAGGTAATTTATTCTTTTTCTTTAATTCGAGCACAGCATCTAACGATTTTCCTATTACAATAAAAAGATAGATTATAGATTAATAAAATTTAATTCAAGTAATAAATTACCTTTCGGTAAAACATGAGCTTCAATCGGATTTACTAATCCTTGATTTTGTCGTCCAAGACCTTGCCCAGATTTATAACCCATTTTTGCAAGTAATTTAGAACCAATGCCCTGTAATATATATTTTAAAAAGTGCTAAATGTACAGTTGATCTTCTTAAGAAACTTTTTCAGTTGATCAATTATCAACTACACTGATTTTCCAATTTAGTGAATTTCATCATACAAAAAAACTACTGCTTACTTTCGTATGTTTTTCCCAAATTCCTAAATTTCCTAATCTTGGTTGATCAGTAGATGAACTTGGAATATCTGCAATTGAATTGAGAACATCATTCATGAGATTTTCATCTTCATTATTTGCTTGAGTCTCATCTGAAGAGTCTTCAAAAAAAAAACCAAATGTTTTTTGAATTTCAATATTCTATTGAATTATTTTACTTGTTGTAATTATTGATTCAAATGGTATAGCTTCCAATGCATTAAAATGAGTAAAACGTATTACACAAAGATGATTATCATTTTCAACACTTTCAATAACACCTGGTTTCCATAAATCATCACTACCTTGTTTACATACAACATTTTGACCAACAGCAAGAGTACTACGAAAAATAATCTTTTTCAATATTAACATACTAATAAAAAGAATGATATATCTTTACTCATAATTTACTTCAATATATTCAAGAAGATCATCGACAGAAACAACAAAACCATGAGAATATCTGAACGAAGAAAAAAAGTTTAAATTAAAAGAAGATTTTTTGTTTCTTACTTGCAAGTGTCACCAAAACGACAAGTATCATTGAGAAAATGTGAACATGGTTTAAAATCAAGACGTGTTGGTTGACAAAATAAAACTCGAACCTAACGTTCACAAATATACAAATTTAAAAAAAATGAATATTTGAATACATACTGTATTATCGGCTATAGATTCAATACCAAGTACAACAACATTATGTCGTTGTAAACCAGTGATAGGACAATTGATTTTTACACTACAATTTGTACCTAGGAAAATAATAGTCAACGAAATGAATTATTAACAAGAATAAAAATGTTGACGAACCAACAATTTCTTTAACAATCGGATTTTCGGCTTGTTCTTCATCATCATCATCATCATCGTCGTCGTCTTCATCTTCTTCATCATCACTACTATCAGAATCGGATGAAAGAGTGACACAAGGTGTTGATTCAGAATCGTCAATTGTAATTACTAATTCATCTAACAATGAAGGTATATAAATGGTGAAACTTAGATGAATATGCATACCATTATTACTATTCGATGTATTAAAAAGAGAAAGAGCTTCACGGAGATCTGAACGTAATTGTCTTAATTCAGCACTTGCAACTCCATCTTTTTCTTCTTGTTGTAGAATAGCATCTTCAACATATTTTAACTAGAAATTCATAATTTTTTTTTAATTTTATTATCCTCATGTTGCTTACTTGTGTTTGATAGGCAAGAATACATTCATTATCATTCTGTGAATCAGTCATAATAAACACGTCTAGCAAAAAGAAAATAATCACTGATAAAATCCAAATGAGCTAATCTTAGTTAGTAAGTTACAAAATTTCGAATAAATCCATATTAAATTATTCTTTACAAAACTTCAAATATTGGTCTACATCAGCGAATTGGAAAGTTTAGCATAGATGTCGCTTGATGTGACAGTTTCACCTAGTTAAATCTTGTTACTGATGTCTACGTTTGTGGTATCATTATTAATAAAAAATAAAATTCGAAAACTGAGTGAAAACAGTCGATCGATGTGCCTTGTACAATTGCCTTGAGCGAGTTCACCATGGTTCTAAGAGGCATGGTTTCTACTGACATCTAAACTCCTACAGTGCTGGGTAACCCAATGTGCGTATAGGATGTGCATAATCTGAAGAAGAACTGATGACATTGTAAGTAACCTAAATACTTGACTTTTGCTTGAGATACTGATCTATAAAAAAATGTTGCTATAAAATATCGTATTTTTTTCATATGTCAAACTAAATACTCAGCATACCCCGAAATTCACTCCGTATGAAACATTTGAAGGTCGACTATAACTTATAGTTTAAAAACAGTCGAATAAAAACACAAAACATTTTATTAAGTAGGATTTCTTTGACAAGTCTTTAATCGAGTTTTCGATAATAAAACACAGAGTATGAAAATATATATCGTAACAATCAGAGTATTGTCTTGCATGATGAGAAAGTTCTAGAAATCAGATGACATTCAAGTTTCACTCGGCTACAAAATGCAGTGCCAAGCTTCCAATGTCGATTGACGTTTGAATCAATATATACAAAAAAATCAATCATCGCGCGGACTATTGAAAATGAAACGTTTTTCTTTCAACGATAATTACGCTATATTGGAATCAGAGCTTGATTTTGGAGTAAGTGTGGGTGTTGATGTGGAGCGTAAGCACGAGTTGTTGTTGGTGGTGTGTGATACTGGATCTTCTCTCAAATATTTTCGACAACCACAACACTCACACCCTCAACGTCATCAAAGAAATCATGCACAAGTAACAATTATATATCATTAGGAATAAGTTCAAGAAAAAGGAAATTATTATTGTTGAAATCAAGTCTTATTCATCTTTTTTTTGTAAATAAACTTATTTTTTGAAATAAACGGATTATGAAAATATATTCAGAAATATACGAAATATTATTTTTTTCAATGTCATTAGTCGATAGACCTCAAAGTTCTGCATATTTATTTCGATTTAGTTCAAGAAGTTGTGATTGAAAAAATTATATGGGTATTCATTTACAGACATGAGAAAAAACAGCAATACTGGTCATCTGTCATCATACAAAAAAGTGCTTAAAGTTTTTTCTCTCCTAACAAATAAAGTTGATAGTTACACAACCAGATTGAGCTGAAAAATGAGAAAAAGATTCAATTTTGACGAGTTCTTCTATTGCTTAGTGACATCGTAGGTGATTTCTGAAGGAAATACAACAAAGATCAAATACTCTATCATCTTTGCTGCATGGCTTCTTTATAATTTAACTCTATGCTAAATAAAGACGAATCCAAATCTTAGTCAAATATACCCACTATCTTTGAGAAAAAGACTCATGTCATGTGAAGTCTTGTGTCTACTCAAAGAAAAACATGTTGATGTTTTTGTTGCAATGATCATATCACTTTATCATATTATGATTATTATTACGTTTCAAAATAGTTTTTATGCCCTTTTTCAGTTAATTCAATCTACAATCAAGACGTTGTTCCAAATAGTTATCATAAAGAATGTGTCTTTTCACTTGAAGTTTGATACTGAAGTTAACGAGTTAATGCTTAACGCAGTAAAATTAGCACAAGTTAAACGAGCAAAAACGTCATTTTCAATTTGAATATTCATGTTTCGATACAGCCAGAATTTTCAGCACTTTAAAATTGGGAAAAACACGTAAGTTGAAAACAAATTCACCGATTTGAATGAATTCATACTCTCCAAACACGTTTAAACGTGTTTCTTTTCAGAGATTGAATATGTCTAGACAGTAAATCTACTTAGATTATAACACTATATTAATTTTAATTAATTTTAGATGAACCAGTCATCATAATCAATTTATCTTTAGAAAAAAAATTACAATTTCGTAATAAGAAGAAACTGCACTTTCATTTTTAAAGTTCATGGTGAGAATTTTTGTTTCACATTCTTGAGTCATTATTTAACATGTGTAAATTTCAAAGAATAACTGATATGAAAGAAGTCGTTTGAATAAGTATATTTCATCAAATCAGAGTTAAGGATAATAATTTTGAAACATTTTCTAAAAAAATTATTATCAATCGAAAGAACTAAAAAGACTCTTGTTCCAATTGCTAGTCAAATTTTAAATGTAAAGTGTTTTTAATCTTGGATCATTTCGCATAAAGCACAATGTTAGTTCTTCATCATGTATCGTTGTATTAAATGAATTACATTCTATTTTAACACAACAATTTGCACATTTTATTTCACATTAACAGAATATTATCCGTAGATGGTACACTCAAACTTAGCTTCTTTAAATTTGGTGAAAATATTTTATTAAGAATTCCTGGGGCGTGAGTGTGACATTGATTGTTCTCATAACTGTCACCTACCAGTTTTGATATTGCTGCCATCTTATATATTTCGAATTCAGTAAACAAAAGCTGCTGAAAGGTATAGGTTTTTTAGGAAGCTATTTGTAAGGAAGCGAAACTTTCCTTCAAGGATCGAAAAAGAAAATTTTCTTATTTAGTTTTTGCAATTTCATCTTTACATTCGAGAAATAATTTCTAAGCTTTCATTCTTGAAATCATTGTAAAAAAAAACACAGAATTTCAAAGTATACGCAGAAAGTGAAATAAAAAACAGTAGTGTTTAGAAATATGTTGACATACTTCATTAGACATCTCCACAGTTGTATATGTTGGCATATCTTCTTTCTAATTTTCATTGAAAATTTCATCAACTTTTAGAAAATAATACGATAAGTAACCAACAAGTTTGAACTAAACAATAGTGCCTTTTCATTTCTGCGCATTGAACATTCAATGTGCTGGTACGACGGCATCAAATTTCGCTACACAAGAAGTTTTTAATGAAAAATGACTAAAAACAATCTAATTTTCTTATATTAAATTCATACCAAAAAAAAAACCTACAATGCTTTAGGTCGCAAACTTATTTAATCGTTCTCCAGCTGTCTCCGATAGTTGGAAGTATTCTGATCCTTCTCTGACTAGATTTGCATACTTGAGAGTTCAACATACGGGAATAGCTTTAAAGAATGATCACGCATTCATCATAAGAATTCAAGGCTTATATTCTTATGTACTCCTAGTATTTCATGTTGAAAGAAAGAAAAAAACAACAAATAGAAAATATATTGTATCTTTACTTTAAGATTCAGTTATTTCAGTTTTTTTTCTAATAATGGTAAATAGTAGAGTTAGTCTTAATCCCGAATACCCAAAAGTTAGCTTAAAACAATACACGACGGTGACGATCTTCTTTTTACTGATACGTTCATTTTAAATTCTAATTTCTGTAAATAGTTGCATCAGATACAAGAATGACAGTGTACCAGAAAAGTATATTATTGATGAATATTCCAGGTGGTTCGTAGAAAAAAGCAGTTGGGTGCGTATTTGATCGCGTCAATTATTTTCGTGCTTTGTTCAAAAACATTCGTTGACTTTCCACAACATGACTAACTTCACTGATTGTCGTAGAAGAATGAATAAAGTAGGTCATGCATAGATCTCATGCAATCTTTTTCTAATGGATAATATTACCATCGCGTGATATGTTACAATCACAGTAAAGAAACTATAGTGTGAAGTACAGCTTTGCCATCAATAAATCAAGAGATGCAGAATATTGCTCCAAAAGATTGGTCCTTATGAAGGGAGCGAGAAGAGCACTTGAATAGCTGGCATTGTTTATATCAATTTCGACTCTGATTTCGTCGCAGTGCGATCCAGGATTCTAATTATTGACGTGATTCTTGATCACTATATTGTCGTGTTGTTGTTCTTTTCTTTCTAAATGACGACGTTGACAAACATCACAAGATTTTTTCCGTCTTGTAAGCTACTCTTATCTGAAGCTGTCGTCCAACCATTAATTTCATGAGTCACATCATGGAGAACTTTTGTGCATGTAAGTTTATCTCCTTTTTTGTTCTTGTTTAACATAGACAAATTAGGAAGAATAACAACATATTGATTCATATGTTGTTAGTCATGGAATTATTATAGAAAATATAAAAAAGAGCAAAACTTTCTTTAGAAAGAAATAAATTTTTTAAGTGCGTTTTTTTATTTAGAATAAGTGGCTATGTCGATTGTAACACAACCACGACAAATAATTATTCAAATAGTTCGTAAATCCGACGGTAAAACAATGAAAATGAATATAGCTGAAACTGACAATCGAAAAGTACAATATATTAAAAGTCAATTGAGACATTTATTTCATCCACACGACAAATTTCGCTTGTATTATAACGGTAAACATATTAAATCTCGACATAAATTAAGTTATTATGGCATAACAAGCCATCAATCAAATATTGTGATTATTTTACATTAAATATATGTATATATTACTTTTTTTTCATGAACATATAAATAAAATCAAATGTTTGTTTTTTTTACTTGGTTGCTGCTCTCTTATTACTTGAATTTAAACTATTTTAAAAAGAGTTATATTCAATTTCATGATACACGTGCAAACTGTTTATTTAATGTATAGAATGTTCTAATTGAGCTATCATTACATTTAATTGATTCATTTCAACAGGGTCTAATCCAATAAATGTTCTATGATTGACTTAAAAAGTAAAATGATGTATTTAGGACTACATCCTGACTGAGGGTGTGCGTGTGCATGTTGCTCTATTCTTGAATTACACCCACACTCGCACTGCTTGTGAAAAATTCTGCATGTGGACATGTTGATCTCGCTGAAAGACAGAAGTGTATCGAAAGCGAAACCTATGTCAACACCCAAAATGCGCACTAGGCTCTTTGGCATTACATCGAACTCTGTATCTTTCATCATGAATTATTTTAACAGAATTAGTAGTGATTCATCATTAGTATGGATAATATATCGATGATCTGAATTTCTATCGGCAACTATCCGATCGTTACGCACAAGAACACTTGATGGTGTGGGTGTTGAGATTTCTATTATTCACACTTGCAACCACATCGAGCCACATCCATACCTACACTTGAAACTCAAACGGTGAAGGATATTTCAGTCGGCGAACATTCAACCGAGCCATCTGTTTTGTTGCATCATAGGAACATTCTCTTGTAATCTAGAATCTTTGATTCCCTGTCAAGTATGTAGCTGAATCCCAGCGCATTTGCTACAGACTACACTAAATTGTAGCTTCTAAAAATGTATTGAATATAATATGGAAGATAACGTTTTTTTATCAATCTAATCGGGCTACAAACAATGATTTTCAATAGTATTCACTTGAAGAAATTTGAGAAAAAAATTACAGATTCAATATAAAAGAAAATATTTTCCTTTGAAAAGAAAGTATAGTTGTTAGAATTCATAAGTGTGAAATGGGAAAGACGCAAAAGATCAACAAGAATATTCGTTTGGAAAGACATTAGTATATATATGAAAACGATAGAAAAAGTGCTGGCTATAGATAGATGAACGTATATTTAAAAAGGCGTACTAAAAGAAAATCACTGGAAAACTAGATCAAAAGTCTCCCAGCTATTAGCATTCTGCCGGTTAGCTGTTAGTTTGTTGTAGCCGAAAAAGTCCGCACAAACATATTTTCCGTTGGCTGCCATCAAAGCCACCTTGCCATTGCCACGGCTAACTTTTCTAAAAGTTTCCCAAGCACTGACTTGAGTGCGATTAGCGATTAAAAGACCATTGCCTCCATTTCCTGCAGAAACGTACAGTCCATTGGTATGTGATTTTAGTGCAATGTTGTCTCCACTGAGCTCGATGAGATCGAAAGTTTCCCAGCTTGCAACAGAATTGCGATTAGCAATCAAAGGACTTTTTCCAGCTTTCTCGGCACAGACGAATTTTTCATTGGAGTTTGAACGAAGGGCGATAACTCTAGAAGCATTTCCTGAAATGGTGAAAGTAATGTTTTAGCTTAAAGTTTGATGAAATCGGATTCATTCAATTTCTAGCTTGTTGTGGAAGGTTCCTTCGTCAATGTCTTTTTGTTCTCCCTGATAGAAGAGTGAAAACAATATTCACATCTCAGAGAAGAGAATGTAGGTGTGGAGTATTGCAGTGGTGATGTGTGGGTGTTACTCTCGTTATAGTCATATCCATACCCTTTGTCTATGCTTTATCCAATTCGAGCTCAACGGTAAATGGAACTTGTGCAACCTTTCTTTATAAATCTGTTGTTTGACATAATGTTGGTTAATATTCATCTTAAAAATACGTCATTGTAATAGACCACTTCAATCTAATTTCGCTTTAATATTGACTCATTTAAAGTATTCATGGAATATTCTGCTGCCGTAAATGATTGCTCGTACATTCAAAAGATTGAAGAGTCATGTAACGGTGGCTGAGAAAAGATAATAATAAATTTCAATGAAAACAATTGTGCTTTATAAATTTCGAGAGTTACTTCACTATTTCATGCTACTTCTCTCTCAACGATAAAAAAGATTGTAGAAGAAAATTTTGGATGGTAAATGTTGTATTCTCATGGAACTTGAGAACAACATTCTTTAACATAAGAAGTTCTATGATGAAATGCAATATGGATGATTGAACAATTAATTTTGACCATTCGATAAAAATGAAGTGAAAAAAGCCTTTCAAATTCAAGAATAAGACAAATTTTACCTTCCATTTTAAGACAGATTTTGTTGATGAAAGATACTGAATCGTATTCGATTTTAAACATCGCTGGATTGTTAAAAGTATCTTTTAATCTTTAAGTTTTTCATTAAAAAATTGAATATCTGGTTCGGCGAAGTCATTATCCTTGCGATATTGAATGATTTTTTCGCTCAGTTGCTTCAATTTAATATCTTGATCGCTGACAAATGTATTGATATAAGATGATAGTTTATGACGAACTTCATCAGCCACTTGCCGAATCTTTTTGGTCGATTCGTACTCCCATTGATCGATTTGTTTCATTAATTCATGGATTTGTGGCTTAGCTTTTTGTACTTCGATTTCGGATTTGAACTGATTGAATTGATTTTCAGCTTTACTTAATTGTTCGCTTAATTCATTATGATGTTCATTGGAATGATCGACGCAAAAATCTGTTGAACATCCTTTACATGTTACAATGGCCTTTGTTTTCTTGCATTTGGCACAAACCGTTTGCTGTGCTTTTGTCCCCATGTAACGATATAGTTTCGAAAGAAAAGAAAAAATTTAAGGGTGTGGGTGTGGGTGTGGGTGTGGGTGGGTGTGGGTGTGGGTGTGGGGTGTGGGTGTCGGTGGCGATTCAGGTCTTCTCTTTACTCACATCCATACCCACACCCATACCCACACCCATACCCACACCCACACCCCAC